TTCTAGAATAATTTCATAAATTGGTATATGAAAAAAGATTGAATTCGTAAAAAATGAGAACAGATATAGAGAAGATAGTATATAAATAAAAAGATATAATAATAATAATAATAATAATAATAATTAAAAAAAAAAATAAATTGGATTACTTCGTCGAACTTCAGAGGATATTCGTCAAAGTAAAAAATCTGTTACAATAAGGAGAAGAAAGGCCCTCGAGAACGAGGCAAAGGAATGATGAGAACGCTTTCCAATACACTTAAGAGTCCGTGTCACGTTTCAGAAGATGATGAGGGAAGGTCGTGACGTCACCAGTAACCCCAAATGTACATGCAATCATAGGCGTCGACTACTAGATCTCTGCGTGTGTTCGCCGATTCGTTCGCTGAATATGCGGCTTGCAAGATTCACCCGAACCCACTGAATACGTTTGAAATAGGAAAAAGGAAAGGAACAAACGATAATAGGGGGAAAGAAAAAGAGAGAGAGAGAGAGAGATAGAGAGAGTTCCCATCGGCAATAGGTAATACTATTAAAAATTCAATCCACGAAAAACCAATGATGAGATATTCGCATTCTCGTTCAAAAAGAATTGCTCGGATTAAATACTCGTTAATAATTTATTACTCATTCTTATACGATTGATATACATTATTTAATAAGATTTATCGATTATTGTAACAATCGCAATCGGATTTATACTTATTTAAATAAGATCTCTTTTTATAATTAAATATAAACGAGCGCGAGTGTTAGAGTATAAGATTTATAAATGATCAGTTATATTATTATATCACAGAATTAAAATGTTATTCTTAAATGAGACGTAATTAATCACCATTTCAATTAAGCATTTTACAATCGTAGATGATAAAACGATTAAAAAAACAAAAAAAAAAGCATTATTAAATATTATCTTTAGAAAGAAAAAATTCTAGAGAGAAAGACGAATATCAAATTTATTATAATTCTTTCATTTCTATATAAAAACATTCGAAATTTTCTCTTTATATGAATTTCATTTTTAAAATTAGTTATATCACAAATCATTCTCATTGATAATAATAACAAATTATATATATATACATATAAACGTATTTATAAGTAGAAAAACATACATACGCCTATGCCGTTTCAGTGTTCTCCTCGATGTAGTCATAGATACATATATATATACTTATACGTATAGATGATAGTGTTTATTCTGTTGGCGATGGTAGAAGAAGGATGAAGGACGATAGGAGAAGGCATTGTTTCAGGGTTCTCGCTTTGATCTAAAGATGACAATGTTCAATGTCTAAGGTACCTTATTTCTTCTCTTAACCACCAACTTTCTCTTTCTCTCTTTCACTCTCTCTCTCTCTCTCTCTCTCTCTCTCTCTCTCTCTCTCTCTCTCTCTCTCACTCCTTCTATTTCATTCTCAAATACTTCTAGTATCGAGGATTCACTATACAGTTATATAATATTCTCTCTCTCTCTCTTTGACGTTTGACCTTCTTCCACCAGACCATCAGAGAGAAAGAGAGAGAGAGAGAAATCCTCTTTTCCGTTCCTTTCACCTTCTTCTTTTCTTCCTCATTTTTCTTCTTCTTCTTCTTCTTCTTCTTCTTTCACTTCTTCGGCGAAAGCCAACGAACAATATGACTGAATTATACATAGGGGACACTCTCGGTGGTTATTGGTTCGAGGTCAAGAGTCCACGCGAAAGGTATAAAGGCCGCGACTGGGTACGATTGTCTCTTGATCGGTTTGGTTTTCACGGACGACAACGAGAGAAAGAGAGAGTGAGAGAAAGAGAGAGAGAGAGTCACGCTCGATCGTGATCTAGTTTCTTCGTAAAGGTAGTTTCTTTGAACCATCTAGCTGCCAAGAAGGGGTGGGACACGCCTTCTCCTCCCCCAAACTTCCATCCCCTTTTTCCCCTCATGCATACATACATACATACATACATACATCCATACATATATACATACATACGTACATACATACGTACATAGATATATACGTACATACGTACGTACATACATATATGCATAGATACGTATATATATATAGAAAGAGAAAGAGGAGGATAAAAAAGAGGACATGAGGGGTTACGCTGGGTGATGGTACTTTAACTTTTCCGACCTACCGAATCAACGACATCAACCGCATCAACGGTTGCACACCAAGTGACGTTCCTCAAGTGGTGAACTCGAACGGCAAACTTTCACGATTACGTCGATCGATCCTGTTCTTTCTTTCTTTCTCTCTCTCTCTCTCTCTCTCTCTCTCTATCTATCTCTTTCTTTCTATTATCTCTCTTTCTCTCCTTCTTCTTCTATTTTCTTTTCTTTTTTTTTTTTTTTGGTTCATAAACGTCAAGGACCCTTAAGCTTTCAGCGACCGTGAAAAGGATAATGGACTTCTTTTTAAATATTTTCGATCTATTAACGTATCACTACGGAAGACTACCACGACGACGAAACGGTTTTATTATAAAATACTCGAATAAAGGTTGAAAGCATCTCGTCGATGGTATAGTAGTTAATATTAAATTTAATAAGAAAAAAGATATATTTTATATTTATGAGTGTGTTGTGTTTAATTTGATATTGAAGAAACAAAAGAGAACAAAAAATGTACCTTTTCGCCGCTGTCACTCGGCAGATAGAAGACAAGTACCGTGAGAAATGATATACCCATACATGGTATTATGAGGTTGACCGTGTAGAAGAGTGTCTTCCGCCTCATCGTGATGTTAAATGTGATATCGAGATAGGGCTCGTCGCAGCACGTGTAGAATTTCTCGTTTCTGAAAGGAAGAATATAAAAAAAAAAAAAAAAAAAAAAAAAAAAATTTTATTTTCATAACAAAAAAAAAAAAAAAAAAAAAAGAGAGAGAAGAAGGCATGTGGTTATTCATTCGATTCAACTAATCGATCAATCGTTCATCTATATAATACTGTGTATTTTTATACTATATTACATATCGTCGTCTCTCTTGGAATAATATTATATAATGGAATATTTATCATGTTGTATTAATATATTAATCGATTTTTTATTTTTTCAACACATCACACGAGAGAGAGATATGACTCGATGTCCACGGGTTAAAATTTTTTCAATTTTCAATGGGGAAAGTACTTTATTGCTTAAATTTCCATTTTTAAAAAGGTGAATTTTATTTAATAATGAAGATTAATATTATTTATTTAGTATTTCTCTCGTCCAAAAATTACAATTTTTAATGATGAAATTTAACAGGGAACTTGGACATGAAAGAAGTAGAACTATGTTTGATTTAGTTGGACGTTTCGTCCCTTTATTGGGACTTCTTCAGCAACTAGAAATTTTATTTTATTATTATTTCTTATATTACGACATACATG